ATTTATGAAGTTTCTTAACTAGGGCTGTTCTAATAAAAACGAAGGCTTGTTTTGATATCTATTCAGCAGTCTCCACTAAATATTACGATGTTTGCGCTCCTTCAATCAGACCGATGCAAGTTTCCACTCTATTTCTCTACTTTTCAATAAACCTTGTAAAAGTTTTTCTAACGGTACTGAATTAAAAACAAATAGTAAAAATCTGCAAAAAGTAAAAACATTGAACGCAATCTTTTCCGCATTCTCTGCACAAAAGAATGAAATCAAACACATAACCTGTAGAAATGACTATCGTATTTAATGTTCAGAAAGGAAGGCTCACAACTTACTGATTATGGGAGGGTGCACATACGATAGCAATAGCTTCATTTAGCATCATCTGATAAGCACAGTGAGTGTGAAGATCGACGGAGGAAAGAAAAGCTGTTTGACTGGGATGGGTGTGTATCCATCCAAGCGTTATCAAATCGTGTTTGTCCTGGTATGCAAAAACCTGCAAAAAAAGGTAGTACTAACGAAGCTATAAAGGAAAGAACAAACATTGATAGAACAACCTCTTCCTCTCCTTCGGCAAAGCAACCATCGGATGATCCCGACTGCTTCGGAAGAATCACATGGGAAACAAGAAATGCGCTGCCCACCTTGAATGTAGTACAACTTTAATAAAAAGAATTCAAAAATCAATGCACTTAACTTAACCTACAATTGTTCCACACAGTGTACCACATGTTTCCACATTTTTTGCTGTATTACTCTCAGCGCACACCAAAAATCTGAAACAGCAGAACTAGGCTGGAATGGATATGGGGTTTTCGTTAATCTCAATAGAGGAACAAAAATTACTTCTTAATTAAATCGCCACCGATGAGTACCATCCTCGTCCCAACTGGAGAAGATGCACCGTGAGATGGGTGACGAGCCAAATTGGGTTTATCACGGCGGTCGATAGAAGGAGCAGAAGGCATGATGGAATTCTTTGCCGAAGGATAAGCCTCATTCGATGGGCTTGAAATGACACCAATTCCAGGAAAGGAAATACTGCTTGTCGTAAAATGCGGATCTCTGGAATTATGATAATTGAAGAGCGAGGTAGTGCGAAAGAAGCTCATATGCAATTGTACAGTGAAGAAGAATGTGAAGTGCTGATTGTCGCTTAAAATTCAGTTCAGATTTCCAAAATAGCAAAAGTTAGGGACAGGTATTGAAGGAGCCAAGGCAGTTTTCAGGTAAAGCTGCCACAGCAGTGTTAGTGTTCACAAAAACGGAGAGTAGTTTTAAGCGGCCGTGGAATTTCAGAATCTTTTAGTAGGTGAAAGTTCACTTGAATCATCAGATTAATAGAAGGAAAATTTATGAATCCCTTCGTTGCATATGACAAATCTACTGAAATAACTTTAACATTAGCACGGATTGTTGAGTAACGACAAACGCGGGCTGCGTGAGGTTCAATACATCGACGACCACACACAAAAACTATCATAAATGTCTCGAGGGGACCGAAGATCACGCGTTCGGGGCGCTCTATGCTATTTGTTGATCACTGAACACCGCGAGCCGACAAATAAACAACAGCACCGCATGCCTTATTGTTAATGTTTCATACGACGGTTATCAATAAGAACCAAAAGCAACATTCTCCCTCCCAAGATACAACATTTTGATCTACTAGAGCGCATGATTATGAAGATGTTACCCTGTCGCCTGGAATAACTTGACCTCCAAAAGGGCTTTTCACAGTTCACCTACTTATCGGGGCAAAGAGGGACGACAAACACGAAACGGAGGTCTTCAATAAGAAAGGAGGAAAGCAATAGTTATTAACCAAATAAAACAATGCTGCAGCCCGTTCAACACCGTGAGCCGTGAGACTGCAAAGGTCGCTCACAAAAGAGCACAGGGTGGAACGAAATGAGAAAGGAAGAACGAAAGTGTACGGCTTGTTCAAAGACTGAACAATGGCTTCTTCGCGACCCATGGAAATTGGTTCGTAAATGGACAAAGTCAAAGGAAGGAAAGTGGCAAAAACATGGAATGCAGAGAAGTTGAACAGCTAATCAAACTGAATNAATTTCGAAAACCTTAAAGACTGATAGATTACGATAACCGACTTGTTGAGCACACATTTTACGAAAAATCGGAGCCAACATGGAACACATTATGGAAGGGATTGATCAAATCCGAGAACTTTGTATATCGCTTGCCATACAAACGGTAAAAGCTACCAAAGGAGAAGAACGAACTTGCAGAAATTAAAAGTTTGGCCCGAAGTTCATTTGAAATATAGAAAATGAGTACTTAAAGGTTGTCTCAGCTTCTGAATATTAAGATGGTGAAGAGTCATACAATTTTCATTAGCCTAATTTTCGCTATAAACGGATAATTCA